GACTACAGTGTATAATACAAATAACATACAAAATGTGTTGATCAGCATTATCAGTAAGGCTTCCAGTCAACAGTAGGCTATTAGTAGATAAATTTTAGGGAAGTCAAAAGTTATACATGGATTTTCAACTGCATGGGGAGTCAGTACCCCTAACCCTCCATGTTGTGCAAGGGTCAACTGTATTATCCCACTGCCTTCTGGTGCTGAGAAATCAGCTGACAATTTTGTTAATTATCTTGTATGTGATGAGTCACTTTTCTCTTGATGCTCTCAAGATTCTCTTTCTGTTTTGCGACCGTTTGGTTATAACGTGTGTCAGTGTGGTTCTCTTAGGTTTCTCCTACTTGGAGTTTGTTTAGATTTTTGGATTTCTAGGTTTATGTCTTTCCTCAAAGTATGGCAGTTTTTGTCCCTTATTTCTTCAAATAATCTCTGCCCCTTTCTCTCTCTTCTTTTTCCTGGACTCATAATGCATGTATTGGTCGGCTTGATGGTGTTCCTTATGTCCCTTAGGTTCTGTTCACTGTTTTTCATTCTTCTCCTCAGAATTGATCATTTCAACTGTCTTATCTTCAAGGTTGCCGATTCTTTCTTCTGTCTGCTCAAACCTGATGTTGAACCTCACTAGTGAAGTTTTTTTGTTTTTTTTTTTTAAGGATGGGGGAGGGGGAATACATCTGCTTATACCATTAGCACATCCGCTGCTGACTTCAGACCTGGCCGTGTCCAGGGGCCCAAATGAGCCATTAGGTGATTTGTCTTCTGTGCTTCTCCCTCTGTGTTTTGTTTTTGTTTTTGTTTTTGTTTTTTATAGGTGGCCAGTATGGGGAACCAAACTCTTGACCCTGGTATTAACAAGGCCATGCTCTAACCAACTTTGCTATCTGGCCAGCCCTCCTAGTGAAGTTTTCAATTCATTTTTTGTATTTTTCAGCTTCCGAATTTGTTTGGTTTCTTTTTATAATTTTTATTACTTTGATATTCTCATTTTGTTCATTTTTTAGTTTTCTAATTTTAGTTGAAAATTGGGAATTTGAAAAAACAGCCACCTCTCCCAGTCTTTGTGGACTGACTGTGAGCCTTGATATTAGTGCAATGTGAAAGCTTAAGGTCTTCTCGGGTCTTTTCTGAGCATGTCTTACCTGGGCCTGCATGCGCCCATCTCAAGTCCCCTAAATCCATGGCTGTTTTTTAATGTCTTAATTTCCCAAAGCATCTCATCCCAGCTTCTCCTTGGGACCTTAGGTGATGTATTGTATGTCTCTGCCCATCATCTCTTGCCCCAGCCATCTGCATGTCTGTTATCCCCTGCAGCTTTCCCAAGCAGTAGCCATCGCTTTCCCACCTGAGAGGTAAGTTAGGCAAAACAGAAACATGTTCCGCACATAGGTAAGAATGTTGCAAAAAAGGCCTGCTCTCCTCCGTCCAGGGCCAGGGAGGCAGCTGGGAACCGGGCTGCTGCTTCCTCCAGACCAGGACCGCATCACAGTGCGGAGGTGGTAGGGCAAGGTTGAGTAAAAATACCATAAAATTTCATGTCATTTTGCATGTGGCTGTTTCTTGAATGGGCATTTACTTGGTTGCTATAAATCTCTGACTGCTTTCTAGGGTTCCTGTAAGGTTATTTTAGTCAGTCTCTCTTTTTTTTGGTGTTCCCATAGGGGAACAAGGTCTCAGAATGTCTTAGTCCACCATTTTTCTGACATCAGTCCAATGCTCAGATTTTATTTTAAAAGAAATGAAATTTATTTCTTGCAGTTTTGAAAACTGGGAAGTCCACAGTCCAGGGAACACATCTGGTGAAGCCTTCTTGGTGGGGGCTCATACAGAGTCCCATGCAGCATATGGTATCACATGGTGAAAATTAATGCCAAGGCTTTAATTTTAAAGTCATTAAAATACAGTTGCTTCCTGTATTGAGTGGGGTTAGGTTTGAAAGTCCTCTCCTCACAACCCTGCTCGCTTGAGTAGCTTGCATACGCAGAGTGCTAGGGCCCTAACGTGAGTTGCAGTGGTGTCTCTGGTTTCTCTTTGACTGGGGCTGCTCAGCTGAATGGGGGTTGTGGGGTTTCGGTACCACACATCTGGCTTCCTACAAGGTGTTGCAGTCTGTCCTGTTGTCCTTGTGGTCACAGTGGTGAAATGTGAAACTTGGAGACCTTGCCCTCTGGGGAAGTATCTATAGGCATGGAGCTCTCACCAGTACCCTAGACGAGGGCATGCGTCACAGCCAATCGCAGTGGCAAACAGTGGTCTCCAGGAGATAATCAGGGCCCTGGAGGTTCCATGCCCTTGTCACACTGGTCCGAAGAGAAGAAATCTAAGCAGGAGGAATATCACTGACCATCCACAAGCCAGCTGTTCTGTGTGGATGGGGAGGGAAGGCCCTGAGAGTAGCACAGACAGAAAAGCTTCCAGATCCATGAGTGACTAGCCTCTGCTATGGCTGCCCACAGAGAGCTGGTTTAGTATCCAGTATGGCCAGGGAGGGAAGATCGAGAGAGCACCCACCCAGGGGCACTGCTCTCTGAGCTGGACAGACCAATGGGCTGTGAACCTGAGGCTCTCCCTGTGTCCTCTACCCTTTCCCATACATGCCATGACATAGACTCATTTAGAGCTGACCCTGTGTTTTCTGAGACAGCACTGGGAGAAAGGAAAGAGGCTGCCAGCCTGTGGCCCACAGCAGGGGTTTCACCAGCCAGCAGAGGCTTAGGCCCAGCCAGCACTCCCGCTCCTCCTCTGACCTACGCACGTGATCCCACCTTCTGTACCTCCTGGGGTCTGTTTCTTGCCTGTCAATGTGCCCTGGAGCAGCCCCACAGTCTAACACTGTCCACCCAAAAACAGGGAGCACAGGCCTCTTTCTTGGTACCTGTCCCAATGCCATCAACACTTACCTAGCATAAGTGCACCTCTGCAGCACTGTGCTGCGTACAGTCCCATCACAGGAAAATTGCCAGAGGTTTTCCCTGCTTTCCTCAAGTGGAGATCCCACACAGAAAGCTGGAGTGAGTCATCACTGCCAGGGAAGGTCATCTGCCTTTAACCGGGGGACCCTGTTCTTCCAGTGGTGTGGGCCTCAGATACACTTCTGCACAGGGCAGCATGGCCAGAACTGCCAGCTGGTCTCAGGAGCAGCTCCAGCCGGACCAGTCCAAGCCCCTGAAGCCATGCCTGCAGTTGCCAGGCCTCAGCTCAAGGCAGTAGGATAGGTGCAGAAGGGAACAGAGGAGGAAGGCCTGGCTGGTTGTCAGCAAGTGCCAGAGGGGTCCTTGCTCTGCCCCCGAGGAATGTTTCTGAGGCTCCCAGCCCTGAGTAGGTTTTCTCGTGGTTTTCCTGAACACCAAATTCTTGTCCCAACACTGGCCACTCACAAGATTTGTCCTCTACACTCAGAACAGCACTTCCACATCCCCAGACGGCCAACAGAACTCACCCCATCAGGGAGCCAGGCTTCTGGCGGATAGCAGAGCCCACTGCACACCTTCTGGCCTTGGCCTTGCTCCACATGGGCATCCCTGTGGCCACAGCTCTTTGCCAAGAAAGAACTTTCACATGCTCCCACTGACAGCCTCCAGAGAGGGCCATGCCAGGTGGGAAAGTTCTCTCATCCCAGAGTGTCTCTACTGCTAATGTGCTCCCTACAGAACCGGCTCCTGCCCCTGCTCTGGCTTCCTGGAGTCATTAACTCCGTTGCCTTTCTTCTGTGTACACAGCTACCCTTCCTGTCATCTTCTTTCCCACACCTTGCAGCCTCAGAGGAGGGCCTGGCCAGTTGTCAACAACAGTGCCAGAGGGGCCCCTGATTTGCTCTGGGGAACATTTCCAAGGGTTGGGGTTGGATGGACAGACTTCTGGCCCCCAAAGTAGGTTTTCTCTTGTCAGGCTCTCCCAAAGTGCCCCTGAGGTCAGCCCTGACTTCCATAGCCAGAGGGCACCCCAGAGGGATGGCCCCACCCCATCCAGCCAGGCCTCAGCTCTCCAGCGCAGCAGCTTCCATCTCTCATCGGCCCCACACAGCTACAAGGCTCCCATCTAAAAGGCCCGAATTGCTTTGTGAGCTGCTCACCCCCAACCCACACCCACTGTACATGATCCTGCACTCACCTGTCTTCATCCTGCCCCACTGCCTGACCATAGCCCCCACCACAGGCTCCCTGGCTCTTGGAGGGGTTTCCAATGCTTCTAGTCGCACACCCTCAGCCCCTCTTGAATAATGCACTTCCAAGTTCCCGTCTCACTCCAGGAAGCCCCTCTGCCTCACTGCCACGTGTGGGCCTCACCTCAGCCTTTTCTCCAGGACACCTGGGCAAAGAGACCTTAGCAAGACCTCAAAGAACGAACAAGAAGCCTCCCCGTGTCTTTCAGGATCAATTTGCCTTTTCCCCAGGGTCTTATGTTTTTAGTTTTTTTGCAAGCCTTTCTGGAATTCTGAAGATGTTCTGGAGGAGTTTGACTAAAAGTATACAAAAACTCAGCTCAGAGTGTTGTGTTGTGTTTTGTTTTGGTCTTTTGCTTCTCACAGGTGTTCAGATCCTTTTCAAATAAAATAACCCAGCCACAGATGAGAAGCAGCCATTAGGCCCTTCTCTGTGAAAGGAGGCCGTGTTTCCCTCTCAGTGCTATAGCCCCGGTATGAGGCACTTCAAGCATTTGCTGGATGGGAGGACGGCAGGACTGGGACAGGAGCAGCAGAGATGGCTAACTGCAGATACTGTTTGGAATCTTCCCTGAGGGGCTTCAGCAAGAAGGCTTCCAGAAGTTGAAAATGTGGGCTGGGTCGTCCTCAGGCCCCCCCTGGCGTGGAACAGCCCCCACTCTAAGAACAACTCGGTACTTGGTAGCAGGTCTGGTTTGGTTGGCTAGTGCCTTACAAGTGGCTTCTCGCCACAAGCCACCTCCGCTGCCAGGAGAGGCTCTCTGGTGTAGGGGCTGTTCCTGGGTGGAGTGGAGCCAGCTTCTGGCGTCTCATGATCACAGCATTTTCTGCTTTGCAGACTGATGAAGAGAAGCAGCAGGATTTACCTGTGGTGATGCCAGTTTTTGACAGAAATACCTGCAGCATCCCCAGATCCCAAATCTCTTTCATTGACTACTTCATCACAGACATGTTCGATGCTTGGGATGGTAAGAAATCTTACAGCATCTTCTTTAAATTACAGGGTACGGTCAGGTAGTGCATTTGACTGTACAGTGTGTTTGGGGGCTGAGGCTTTCAAGAGGGAGTAAGAAGAAATGAACCATCACCAAGGGCCCTTGAGGGCTGGGTGGGTTTTGTTCATTTATACCCCTTCCCCCAGGTATAGGCATCTTTATGCCTATTTAATAGATGAGGAAATTGAACTTGGGGTCACACAGCTGGTAGTAGAGAGGCTAGGATTCAAAACCAGTAGTGTTGACTCCAAAACCCAGTTTTTCTGTGTGAGCCCTTTGCCGTCTCCTCTCCCGGCTTCTCCCAGGCCTCACTCTGCACCAGGCCAGAGGGCAGGCTGGTTGCCCTCTGATGCATGTCACTCCCCTTTAACCTTCAGGTGGAGTCAAAGGAGCCTGTCGAATAAAAGGTTATGAGAGAAGAGGACCCCACTAATACTCTCTGGGCACCTTGTGTCCTAAGGGCTGCACGTTGGGGAATGGTAAATAAATGTCCAGACCCAGGGACTCAAATTCAGATGTAGTCAGGAAGGTACAAGCCCATGTCTCCAGGAGGGCAGAGGGTGCTCTGAGGCGACCAGATGGGGGGCCTTTTGTCTTTTGAGGCAAAAGACTGAGACGAACAGTAGGAAGAGCCGGGGCTCTGAGGGCAAACTGCAGGCTCTGCCACTCCCGGCTTCTGGGACCCAGAGCAGGCCCCACACTCCTCCTGCGGTGCGCCTGGGCGGTGGTGCAGGCAGGAGGACACGGCATGCGTGAGACGTGGCTGTGGGAAGTGGGGAGAGCACAAAAGAGCCCTGACATCCCAGGTGCATAGGCTCTGGGTAAGTGGAAATTAAGCAGGTTAGCTACCTTCTGTGTAACTTACCGAAGTTCTTAGTTCAGCAAGTGGTCACAGAGAAGGTGCTGGCACTGAGTGCAAGACTGAACTTCAGTAAACCTCGGTTCACTCAAGCTGCTGGGTCTGCCTGCCTGTGTGTGTCTGGCATTATGCAAATACCTACTCCGTCTAAATTAAAAGCCTAAACCTGTGAACCAAGGCTCTGAAAGGATATCCCATTCCCATCTTTTTCTCCAGTCTTTGTAGACCTGCCTGATTTAATGCAGCATCTTGACAACAACTTTAAATACTGGAAAGGACTGGACGATATGAAGCTGCGGAGCCTCCGACCACCTCCTGAAGAGGGCAAGACACTGCCTGGACCCTGAGGCTTTGTGCCTCTGGTCATTTGGAATTCCTGAGCGCAGCCAGAGTTCCTTAGGCAGAACCGCTCCCTGGTCTGTAGAGCCTGTGAAAGCACACGGGGACATCTGTAACCTTCTGAAGCCATCATCTGATGCCATTGCTATAAAGTGAGACTTAGCCACTGTAGCTTGGGCCTGCTGCAGGGGCTCTTCGGAAAGGCACATGAGAACTATGGTTGACACCAGCTTTCTGTTAAAATGCAAGGTCTGGAGTGCCCCTGTGGAGGGTGTTGGTGGATTTCCCGCCAGTGGTAGAGAATGTCTTATTGCAAACAATTTCTTTCAATTATTTTCAGCACTTAAGGACAGCTAATGGCAATCGGATCTTTAGCAACTTTTTCACATCACAGAAGGTGCAATCACTCACTTTGGAACACTACTGAGAGTGACTTCTCTTTTAAAATTGAGTAGCAAATGAAAAATAAAACTTTGAAGTTGATTATTATCAATTATTAAAATGTCTTATTTATTTTATTAAAACTTCAATATTTTCTATGAATTTAAAAATACTTCAAAGCCAAAGCCAACTTCAAATGCCATGACCAAATTTTACATGATTCATATTCATTAAATATACATTACTTGGTGTACAGACTTATCTTCATAATACAAATTAAAAATATTATAAAATGACATTTTTTACTACACTATAGAAATATTTGTGTATGTTATACTCTTTTCTGATTGATGCTAATTGGAAAAAGCTGTTTTACTGATAGGTCTTATTCTAGCCTTCAGAGGAGGCTGCTTCTGCTGTATAGAACCCAGGGCTCTGAGACAGCTCTAGTCATCTGATGAGCTTTGCAGGTGACTCCCCAAGGTAAAATAATACTCTTCTTGGTTTGCAAAGAAAAATTAGGACTTAACGCTTTTTCCTAAAATGTTATAATTGAATTTCCAAAAGCTTGCCTTATTTTCTACTGTTTCTATAAAATACTCCCTATGAAAACAAAGAGCAAAAACGGAATATTTAATGAACTGACATTTTATAACCAACCTGTTTTCATCTGCAGTGGGAAACTTTGATTCCAGAAGTTTATAAAAGTTCTGTATCTTCACATTTTGAATAAGCATAATACCATAAAAAAAAAGACACTTGGTGACATGTCAAAGTGTTTGTCATTTCATTTTAAACTTGTATTTGGGTTTTTTCCCAGATAAAAATGAAATTAAACTATCTGTTTTTAAGAAATCATGTATTGCCTTTTCTTTGAAGTTTTGTTTATAATACTTATGATATTAAATCTTTTCCTCTTTCTAAAAATGCCTTTATTTTACAGAAAAGATTAGTAGTTAAATGACTTTTTCTAGGCCACACAGCACCAAATGTATATGTTGAAAAATTCTCAGAATGCTCATTCACCTTCTGGTACCCACTCGGATATATCAGGCATGCTGGAGAGCTGACAGGGGCTCTCCAGGATGGGTCCTGGGTACCTGGTACCCATGCAGAGGTGTCAGGACAGTCTGGAGGGCTGACAGGGCAAGCCTTCAGGGGTCACTTCGTCTAAGGAAACAATGACCTCTTTTTCCATGTGAAGACATTTGACCTACAGTGGTAACTGTGGCATGAGCTGGGAAGAAGGCTCTCACCCCTCCTCCAGGTGCCAACAAAGAAAAGACAACAAACCACACAAGGAACTCAGCCATGATGAGGTAGAGACAGCAGTGCATGCAGTATATGGCATTGTCACCACCAAGAGCTAGTAATAACTGAGTAACCTGAAAAAGACTTTGAGATAGTATGCTTATTAACGTGTTTCAAGAGATGGAAGAAGCAATAGAAACTAAGGTAAGGGCCGGCCCGGTGGCGCACTGCTACAGTGCGCCGCTTGGGAGCACGGTGGCGCTCCCGCCGAGGGTTCGGATCCCACATACAGACCGGTTCCCGCTCACTGGCTGAGCGAGGTGCGGGGGCAACACGGAGGGGTGTGATCCCGTTGCCAGTCCCGGTCCGGTACGGGTGCAACACTGAGGGTTGCAATCCGTTGCCGGACACGGAAAAAAGACAAAAAGGGAAACAAAAAAAAAGAACCAAATAGGGCCGGCCCGGTGGCGCACTGCTACAGTGCGCCGCTTGGGAGCACGGTGGCGCTCCCGCCGAGGGTTCGGATCCCACATACAGACCGGTTCCCGCTCACTGGCTGAGCGAGGTGCGGGGGCAACACGGAGGGGTGTGATCCCGTTGCCAGTCCCGGTCCGGTACGGGTGCAACACTGAGGGTTGCAATCCGTTGCCGGACACGGAAAAAAGACAAAAAGGGAAACAAAAAAAAAGAACCAAATAGGGCCGGCCCGGTGGCGCACTGCTACAGTGCGCCGCTTGGGAGCACGGTGGCGCTCCCGCCGAGGGTTCGGATCCCACATACAGACCGGTTCCCGCTCACTGGCTGAGCGAGGTGCGGGGGCAACACGGAGGGGTGTGATCCCGTTGCCAGTCCCGGTCCGGTACGGGTGCAACACTGAGGGTTGCAATCCGTTGCCGGACACGGAAAAAAGACAAAAAGGGAAAAAAAAAAAAAGAACCAAATAAACATTCTAGACATTGAAACAAACAAGAAAACCTCAGTGTATAGGTTTAACAGAAGACCAAACATCACTAAAGAGACAATTAGTAAAGAAGACAATTAAGGGACTCACTTAGCAGCACACAGAAAAATGGAAAATACGAAACAAAGGTTAAAATGTGAGGGTAGAATGAAGTGCTTCAAAGTGTGTCTAATAGGAAATCCTCAAGGGAGAATAAATGGGAGAGGCACTAACCAGAGTCAGAGAGTCCTTTAGGATTTGACAGACACAAATCCTCAGATTTAAAGTGTACGTTGAATCCCAAGAAGGATAAATAAACCAAATCCACACAACACAGTGAAACTGTAGAACACTGAGCACAAAGAGAAAAACTTAAAAGCAGTAAGAAAAGACATTATTTACAAAGGAACTAGAGTTACACTGTCATCAGACTTTTCATCTGCAACAACCAGAAGACAAAGGGATCACATTTTCAAAATACTGAAGGAAATCGTCAACCCGGAATTACATACCTACGCTATCTTTCAAGAGTGAATGTCAAAAAAAAAAAAGGATAATTTCAGAGATGCAGACAGTTCATTACAAATGGATCCCTGTGTAAAGAATTACTGAAAGCTGTACTTCTGTAAAATGAATCCAGTAAGAAGAAGGAGGTTGCAGAAAGCACTGGTGAACAAAGAGATGGGTAAACATTGGCACAAAACCAGCTGAGTATATGGAGGGTGGGGGTATATAAAACTAGGTAAGCTAAATGTTCAGGAGGACATAAAACATTTGTTTCAGACATCCAACATAAAAAGTTCAGGGAAATTGTCAAAGGACTGAAAGAATATGGAACTTAAAATCACTAAAAGGAAAGCATAGAGAAGAAATAAAATGTGACCAATTACAACCAATGAGATAAATGGAAAACGAAAAAGCATGAGTTAGAAAAGACAGTGGCAGACATAAGTACAAATATCAGCTCAACATACACAAAATCAATTCTAATTAAAGAGCTAAAGTGAAAAAAATACCATTTTGACATTAGAATGTGGAAAATATTCTTAAAATGGTGTCAAAAGCTTTAGAAAGCAAAAAAGTATCTTAAGAAGTTAGAAATTCTATATGACAAAAGTTGTAAATCAAGCTAAAACACATGCCACAGATTTGTAGATGACCTAACTAGAACTAAGTGTTCATATCCAAAATATATAAAAGATGCCTGCAAATCAATAAGGGCAAAAATAAGGATGTTACACTCCAAATTGAAACAAGTTTTAAAATCTGACCATACCAAGTATTGATGAGGGTATGAGGAAGTGTCAACTTCCAAACATCAATGGTAAGAATGCAAGATTGGTACATCCACTTTGGAGAGCAATTTGGAAATATCTACTAAAGTGCCTTGTATTAGTCCATTTCTGTTGCTTATAACAATATACTTGAAACTGGATGATTAATAAAGAAAACAAAATTTATTGCTTAAAGTTTCTGAGGCTGGGAAGTCCAAAGTCCATCTGGTGGTGGCGACAGTGACCCAGAGGTCTCACATTGCAAGATGGTGGAAGCAGAGAGACTCTCTTGTTTTAAAGCCCTCAGAACCACGCCCCTGACTCCCATTATTAATCCATTCACTACTGCATGGTCCTGCAATCTAATCACCTCTTCAAGGCCCCACCTTTCAATTACCATAATAGGATTTCCCACCCTCTTAATAGTCACAGTGGGGCCAAGATTCTAATACATAAAACTTGCAGGACACAATTCAAGCTTCAATGAGTTTTGGGCAGACATAGTTCAATCCACTACATGCCTCAATTTAGCGATTTTAAAGATCCTAGAGAAACTTGCAAATGAAAAAGACATTTTCAAGAACAGTCACTCCAGAATTTTGTCATAGTGAAAAAGAAGAAATCTAAATGTCCTCAGTAGCAGAATGGATAAATTGTGGCATTATATTCAGATTATGGCATATTGTGTTAGTTTCTAAAGTGGCTCCCAGTGATCCTTGTCCTCTATTATTCACAGCCTTGGGCTGGACCTGGTGACTTGCTTCTAACCAACAGAATATGGCAAAAGTGACAGAATGCCACTTCCAAGATTTGTCTACGAAAGACAGCTTAATAGTTTCGTAGGGCTGCCATAACAAATTACCTCAAACTTGGTGGCTTAAAACAATATAAATTTTTTCTCTCATAGTTCATAAGGCCAAAAGTCTGAAATCAAGGTGTCAACAAGTTTGGTTCCTTCTGTAAGCTCTGGGGCCATCCATGCCTCATTCTTAGCTCTTGGTGTTTGCCAGCAATCCCTGGCTGGTAGGTGCATCATTCCAGTCTCTGCTTCCATCGTCTTATTGCCTTTTATGTGTGTCTATGTCTTTTCTTAAAAGGACACAAGTCTTTGGATTTAGGGCCCACCCTATATTCAGGATGGTTTTATCTCACAATCTTTACTAATTATATCTGCAAACACCCTATTTTGAAATGAGGTCCCATTGTGAGGTTTTGGGGGGACACTATTCAACCCACTACAGATGGTGATATCCTTTTTTTTTTAAAGCTGACCAGTAGGGGGATCTTAACCCTTGACTTGGTGTTGTCAGCACCGCGCTCTCCCAAGTGAGCCACAGGCTGGCCCCAATATCCATCTTTTTCTTGCTTGCTTGCTTGCTCTGATGAAGCAAGATGTCATATTGTGAGCTGTGCTATGGAGATGCCTATGTGGCAAACTGAGGGCAGCGTGCAGCTCACAGCCAGCAAGAAACTGAATCCTGCAGCAACCACATGAGTGAACTGGAAGCAGATCCTCCTCCAGTCGTCTTTAGATGAAACTGCTGCTGCAGCAGACACCCTGATTGCAGCCTCGTGAGAGAATCTGAGCCAGAGGACCCAACTAAGCCATACCTGGATTCCTGATCCATAGAAAGTATGTGTTGTTCATTTTAAGCCAATGAGTTTTGAGGTATTATGCAGCAACAAATAACTAATATAGCAGCTTAAAAGAATGAAGTACAGCTACAGATGTCAACCCGGGAAAAACTTAAGAGTAATAGTGAATGAAAATGCAAAGTTGCACTCAAATGATGTCATTTGAGAAAATTTTTTGAATACCCCAAACAATACACTATTATTCACATAAAAATTAATGGTAGGAGCATTAAAATATGCAGGAAGTTTACAAATATTGTGAATTGGCTTGTGCAGCACTACCTAGCCTCCCGGTGTACACACAAACTAGAAAGCCAAAAGCTTTTCCTCCGAACTCCTTTGCACCTGGGTTTCCACATATAATTTAGTTTCACCTGTCAAATGCATTTGTTTAAGATTCTGATTGTGAACTAAGTCATAAATGTAGGAAAGCAAAGTCCCGCATAGGGGCATCCACTTTGAGTGTCAGAAATAATATTCTAGACCCAGCAGCGGCAGTGGGGATTCCTGACTGTGGTAGAAGCAACAAGGCTCTGGAGACACAGCAGCCACTTGGCAGCCCAGCTCTGAGGTGTGGTTTAGGGAGACTGTCCAGGAAACTCAGTCAAGAGTATATTTTTTTCAGCCCTTCCACTGAAAAATCCCTTCTGCTTAAACTACCTAGAGGAGTTCTCCAGTCTCAAAATTAAGGACTCTGATGAAGACCAGAAGTATACAGTGGCCTGTGGAGGCGGGGGAGGGGTCTGGTACTGGAGAGA